GCAGAATTGCTTTAGGTAAGATCTATATGCCATGATAACTTTATTATTTTCAATATTCCCTAAATGAATTAGTTTCCTTATGAATTTTGGATAGACTAAAGATGTTTGGTGGTCTAGCTCCTCGGTGAAGATATACAACTTTGAGAGACTTCGAATCAAATTTAAATTAGTAGCTTCTAAGAAGAATGCAGAAGAACACCAAAATAAATGTGGAAATATATAGGCCAATGTAAAAATCATATCTCGTGTTTTGCTGCTAGAGAGAGGACACACCATGGCTACAGGCGACTAGAGGAAATGGTCTTGCAGTTCATACTAACACTAAACTCATAAGCTATTTATATGCGGAGAATAGATAAATTTGCCTGTCTATGAGGAAAAGGAGCATATACACTTCTGGCGACTTGGCAGGTTGACATGAACACTGCATCATTGCCCATCGATCCGACATTACCGACTAGAATGCCTTTAAAGTGTGCAGGAGCACGAGGCAATTATGTGCAATAGGCACAGGTTTATCTTTTTATTTTTGGAAAAGGAAAAGAATAAAATAGATTATTTTAGTGATTTTGACTTTGCAATCCGGATAGTTTAATTACATCGCAACTGGTTACTACGACAACTAATCTTATTTGTCTGTTTCAATGACATATTTTTTTCCAGACTTCTGTGGAAAGGATTCATGTCGAAGTGCTTTAGGGGTAAAGTGTTAGGAGTTTAGATTTTTCCTATATGATCAGACGTCTCAAGTATTTGAGAGTAGAGTGTAGCAAACTTAAATGTCTACTCAACTTTAACTTCCTTCCCTTATATAAATAATTTCCAAGAGTAATCTATCAAGCGCATTTTGTGTTTTAATTTTGTTTCCCCGACGAGCGAAGACTCCTACTAGTCTCGCTTATGGAAATCCTAAATGTTGGATAAAGCTCATTCGGGAGAAATTTGTTTCTTTAAATATCGTTTCCTCCATCAAAGACGACCCTTGAGTAGAGTACTGTATGAGAAAGCTTGTCAGTGACAACCCCTCCGTTTAGCGAGAGCAACTGCAAATCGTCTAATCCTTGTCATTACTGCTTGGGTGACAATATACTAATCCAATATAAAGAAAATGCGGGTTTCGAAAAATCTCCTGAGATAAGATTTTGGTGAAGGAAGTACATGATGAAGAAGACGCCGACTGATTCGCGTTGTACTGGAGCCGTTTGGCCTTAGTGCCACGTTAAGATGGATGCAGTGCACGAGTCATGCTTCAACGTTTCAGGAGAAGATGGGCTGAGATTTCGGTCGTCATCTGACGAATATCGTCAGAGCTAGGACTCACTCTTGTAATAACCTCAAATTAAAACGAAGTCAAGAAAACCGACCAGCTTTTTCTATATAATATATATACTCATTCATGTGTACAGACTTACATCTCATCAATTTAAGAGGGTTACTTACGAACTAACGCAGTCTCGGTCATTATTTTTCCTTTACTTTTTCACTTGAGTCATTAAGCCTTGATGAACTGGGGCTGACGTTACTTTTTTTCTAATTGCTCCGAGTTATGACCGGTTTTGGGTACAGACGTTAGCGTACATATACACATAGACGCACTTGAATATACGTGAATTTATATATCCATCTATATCTTACATTTTGTTCACAATGAATATATATATATATATTATATATAAAAAGGCTGGTTATTATTCTTCCTTAAATGTTAGCTTGATGCTTTTAC